CTGCCCGGTGGGCGGGGGGGGGGGGACGCGGCTGGAGCCCCTAGGCCGGGTCTGGGAACTCCTGGGAGGGGTCAGCACCATGCAGGGCTCAGCATGGCCATGACTCATATTCACTTGCTCACGATGAACCCTGGGATGCTCCGCAGTCCCAGTGTTCGCGATCTCCCTGGGACCAGAGCATGGGTCATCTTTGGCACTTCCTCCACCTTGCCCATTCAAGGTGACTTCAAGGTGACTTCAAGGTGAAAGGGGTGGGCTCAGGGCTTGGCTGAAAGGGGGAGGGTCACACCTGAGGCCACTGACCCCAAGAGCCACAGCAGGTTCAGTGGAGGGGCAGAGCCAGAGTGATGGGGCTGGGTGACTGCGTGGACAGAGCTGTGAGCAGATTTGGAGGACCTTGCTGCAGACTCATGGAGAGCACATGGAGGGCTGGAAGTTCACCAGGGAATCTGTGATGAGAGCTGCTTGAGCTAGCCCACCCTAAAAGAGAGGGGCTCGGCTGGGAGGTTTCTGCTACCATGGACCCCAGGTCTCTAGCTCCTGCTCTCCTGGGCTTGCAAGCTCTCTGCTGGTGGCTGGCTCCTGCCCCATTTCTGCTTCCCTGTGCCTCATCCTCCAGCTAGCTGTAGGGTTGTCTCCTCTGGAGACTGGCCCTCCCCACATGCTCCATCTCCCCACACCTACTAGGTCATTAGGCATCCTGGGGTAGGGTGTGGGGCCTCTCTGTGTGCCTCAGGCTGCTGTGATGGAGGAATGACAGGGGCTGTAGTGGGAGTGAGTTCCCCATTGTGAGAGGCATACGAGTTGGTGCAAGGGCCTTTGGATCATTAAGAGAGCAGCCTGGCCAGGAGGATGGGATGAGAAGCTTGGGCCGCTCGAACCCCCACCCAGCTTCGGAGCCTGCACTGGCCAAGCAGTGCCCCAGGCCGACAGCAACCATATGTTGGAAGAGGAGCTGTGTGCGTTGCTCTGCGGCCCCTGGGGCCTGGCCTTCCTGGGCCTGTCACAGCTGATTTTCCCTGCCTGAGTGGCAGGCGGGCCAGTGGGTGGGGTGGGTGGGAGCTGCAGAGCCTCTACTTGGCTCCAGTCCATCCCCCATAGCTCTCGACACTGGACCTGCCACTAGTAGACCCAGGTCCTGGACCCCAATATATCCCTGCATACTCTGCCCATTTTGGTCCTGTTTGGGTCAGGAAAGGAACCCTGGCAACTGGGGGCCAGCCCTCCTGCTCAGTCGGTCGTGGGCAGGTGGCCAGGGATGCACACGAGCTGCGAGGCCCCAGGGCAGGCGGGAGAGGGCCCGGAGCCTTGGCCCTGTCAGTCCAACGCCCAGAGCTGTGCAGAGGGAGGCAGGAGGCCACGGCTAATTTGTACACTAAGTGCTTCTGACAGGGATGCCTCACAAGTGAGAACACACCACCACCCGCCTTGGGAAGGCCGCCATGGCCAATGGGTGGGCAGAGGCAGCCTGGGTGAGGGGCCAGGGTTGGCACACAGGGTCAACCCAGCCTGTAGAAACAGGAACAGCCCAGGAAAGTGGGGAAGGGGGAGGGCTGGGGAAGGGAGGAGTGTTCAGGACCAGGAGCCCCAGCAGCTAGAGGGCCAGAGTCACAGCAGGCTGAGGTGGGGAGCAGGGCACAACAGTGAGGAAGGGGCCAACCCCCAGGGCTCATGCCTACTCCCCACGGTGGCCCGACCCCATCCATTCTTCACTCACCAGGCCTGTGGTCCAGGTGCCACTATGGCTAAGAGCATGGCTGAAGTCCCTGCCTCAGGATGGCCTGGCTGGCTCCCTCCATCCTCTTTCCTCGCCAGCCACCGCCCCCGGAGTGCCCTGACCCTAGCCAAACCTCCTCCTCGGCCCCCTCAAGGGGTCTACCCCAGCTAGCACCTTCTTTGAGCTCCCTTGTCATGACTAAGGGTGTTGCCTATGGTGTCCCCCAACTCTCCAGACAGTATGTGTTCACTGGCCCCCCTTACCCTTAACCCCTCCCTACTGGAGCCTCCTTCCTTGCAGGCTGGGGTCAAAGGGGAGAGGGTGCTGGCCGGGGTGAGCTGGGGTCTCCAGACTGGCCAAGAGGATGGGCATGCAGCCTCCTGCCCCACTGTGGATATGCCTGCCTGGCCTGCCACAAGGACAATGGGCACCCACTGGAACACAAGTCCAGGCTGTCAGGGACACCTCAGGGGTGATGGAGCTAGCTCTGTGAGGACTTGAGGGTGGACGTGTCCTGGCCCCCACCCCACGGGAGAGGGTCCGGCATGCTTGGCGCAGCCGCAGTGCAGCAGGGCGGGCATCTTCGGGCGCTGAGGTGAGATGTGTTGTGGCAGCTCCCCCGCTGCCCGAGGCCCGCCTGGAGCGAACACTGCTGGTGGCTTTAATTGCTTTCACATTCGATAGGCTGGCCTGTGACAGGGCTCTTACACCTGCTGAGTGCCAGCCTCTGCACCCCAGCCCCCTACTTGTTCAGGGAGGGTGGCCCTGAAGCCTCTTTCCTCGACTGAGACTGCAAACCACAGACCAGGCGGGTGAACTGCTCCACGTGCCTGGCCTCAGCTGCCATGGGGATAGTGCCTCCCAGAACAAACTAGAGGGAACATGGGGCCACTAGGGTCAAGCAGGAGCAGGCCGTCACCTGCAGGAGAGGATAAGGAAACTTTTCTTGTGGTGTGGCCTCCTTGCTCCATCTGTTCCCGCCTGATGACTGATAAACTCAGACAGGCACTCCTAGACAGATCTCTCACAGGGAAAAGTCTTGCATATGTACTGTCCTTCTGTCTGCCTGGGGCTGAGGCTGTGTGGGGACCAGCCTGCCAACCACCACAGGATCTGGCCCAAACCTCTGTCCCGCCTGGACATCCAGTCCTTCCTGGGATTCAGGCAGTCAGTGAGCAGGGCACCCCTAAAGGCTCATTGTGAGGCTGACCTCCAGTACCAGTGAGCCACTCCCATTGAGGTGTTGTCACCAGGGTAGACTGGGTGCCCCTCAACACGACTCTGCACGTGAAAGGGAGACAAGGGGTCTGGGACCCCTGGGAAGAGTGACAGGCAGACAAGGCGTCATTACAAAACAAAACATTTTCATTTGGTCCATCAGAGCCTGAGTCTGGAAACACCCATGGAGAATCATTCTACAGGGCTGGGGACCGACTGATAAAATAGTCTCTGCATCAGAAGAGCTGGCCATATGTACAGGGTTAAAAATATTCACAGCTCAGAGTAAAAGGAGAAAATATAAAGGAGGCCCTAAAGGGAGTGTAGTGCGTCCCGGTGTTTCTCCAGGTGTAAAAACCCCTGCAAACCCCACAGGAAGTGAGAGGCGGTGGGTAGGGCTGCCAGCTGCCTGGGGCTGCAGGGCAGTGAGGCCAGGCGGGCCCCTGAAAGCTAGCCTCAGATGTTCACAGGCAGAAGCAGGACTTCAAGCAGCCATGGGGAAGGATGGCCGGGAGGCAGTCCAGCTCCCTGGGCTTCTGAGGCAGAGGAGGGGCTAGGAGGGAAACCCCACGTGTACCTGGACAGGGCTGGCCAAGGATTTCTGTTGGACCTTGGTCCTCCTGGCAGAGGTCAGGTGGTGCTGAGGACAAACCACCTCACCGAATAGTAGCTCCTGACCAGCAGCCCCCAGGGCATGGCTTCGATCCTGGAGACTACTCCAGGAATTGCATAGTATTGCCAGAGGGGCAGCTGGGGCCCTCCCCAACCCTGGTCCTGAGCCCATGGTCACCAGGTACCTGCCTCCTGGGACACAATGCTGGGACTCCTGGGACCCCTGCTTGCCTTGTGGAGGTGGGAGTGTGTGAAGATGGGTTCTGAGGGCAAGCTGGGGAGAGAAGTCTCCTGACTTCGTGCCTCACAGAGGAGATAGTCCCTGCTCACCTTAGGGTCCTAGCCTCTGACCTACCCAGACTTGGTTTTGTGAATGGAGCTCTTGGCTGCCTCACACAGGCTGGAGGCCCCAGGCCCATGGGGGAAGGGGCAGCCTCATCTCAGCCCTGGCTCACCTGAACTCAACCTCGAGGCAAACCACTCATAGGGGCTGATGCACAGATCCCTCACGCTAGAAGTGGATTCAAGGTATTCTGCTTGGTGGCTGGGAGGCCCTGGACAAGAGGGAGGGGCATGGAAGAAGGCCCAGGGGAAGCTGTGCCCCATGGCTGGTGGCTCCCTGGGCAGGGTCCTGAGATTCTGGTTCAAGCGTCCTCTGTTGGGGTCTCCCTCTTAAAGTGCATGTTGGGGGAGGGGGCGGGCAGGCAAGGGCGAAGTGGTCACAACGGCCGGGGCCCATGCAGGCCAGCGACCTCCGGCGTGAGTGGGGGGCTGTGGGTGCCCCTGGAGGCTGTCCAGTCGCTGAGGAAGGCCTGGGCTGCCTTGCGGTGTGCCAGGCGGTGGGTGATGGAAAAGCCAGCGTTGCCCTCGAGCTGGGACAGGATCACGAGGACCTGCCTGGGGGAGGGGGCCGGTGAGGGCCAGTGGAGGCTGGGGGGTCAGGGGGGCGGGAGTGGTGCCCACCTGTGCAGGGGTGGCACACTGTCCTGGGTGCGCAGGCTGCCTCGAGTGGATACCACATTGAAGCTGTCAGAGCAGTCGCACTGCACATGCAGGTAGGACTTGGGGTGCCGGTTCTCTACGACCACGATGAGCCCTGCCCAGCCGTGAGTCAGGTAGTAGCAGGTCATGCCCTCGCGACCCTGGGCAGACAGTGGTGTGGGCTGGGCAGGGCCTCCTCTTCCCTGTCCATCCCCATCCCCATCCCCATCCCCCTCCCTGCCCACCTCACCTCATGCCTCTCTCCCCGACTCTCCGTGAGCAGGATGATGGCGTCAGCCAGCGTGGTGGGCTGGGCCTCTACAGGCTCCACCATGACCAGCCTTGAGCTGTACACAGCCAGCACATGGCCAGGCGGCTCTGGGGAGCAGCGAGGAACTCCCATGGAGGGGCTGGAGGCTGTGGGGGTTGTGAGTGAGGGGGGCCTGGGGCGCTGTGGTGGGGAGGGTCCGGGGTCAGGGTGGGGGTGGGCGGCGTTACCCTGAGGGGCGGCCGGGGGCCCCGGTGCAGTGGGGCTCCAGTGGTTGAAGGCACAGCACACCACAGCATATTCGCCGGGCTCCAGCATCACATCACAGTTGACAAACTTCTTGACGGCACGCTTGCTGTGGGCCAGCAGGCGGCCCAGGCTCAGGCGGCCACCGCTGCCAAAGGAGGCCCGGAACACCAGGACACACAGGTCTAGGAGGTGGCTGTCTGCCGAGTCTGCACGCCTGTAGTCAAACCCGTGGAAGGGGTTACCAACAGCACCTACCATCTGCGGGCCCCACCCCCTCCAGCACTCCAGCTTCACCCACCCTACCTCTGAATTCCCAGCTCTGGCTCCGCCCAAACGCCTGCACAGGGCTCCAGCCCCGCCTACCTGCTGCCCTCCTGGAAGAGGGCGAACTCCAGCGATGCTCGCTCCAGCACAGTAAGCGCTGTCACCCCCACGGGCCCACTGGCCGAGCTGGGGAAACAGCCCTGCACCCGTACCTCCTGCCAGTCAGAGTGCACCTTGCAGATGTCCACAGAGTCGAAGTACCTGGGCAGCGAGAGGACAGCCCCACTGAGCAGCCCCAGCCCCAGCTCTGGACACCCAGCGGAGCCAACCCCACCAGGAGTCAAGACACCTCCCACAGCCCCCATACCCTCCCCACTCCCTGCTCCTCTGTGCCTTGGGCATCTCTTAGGGCCAATGTTCCAGAAGCCCTGGTGCTAGCTATTGCATAAAGACACCACCAGAGGGCTCCAGGCCCCAAGTTTGACCCAGAGCCTTGGAGGCAGAACCCTACAATCACCACTCCCCCCAGGCCCTAGGTCGACACAGGGACAGGCTAGGCTCCTCAGGAAGGACATGCTGTGGGTTAGGGCAAAGGGGTGCAGAGACAAGTGAGGTGGGTGAAGATAAGAGTGGCTGGAGCACAGGGTGGCCATAGGGTAGACACTGGACTCCCACTGCCCGAAGAGTCCAGGTACCTGATGAAGTCACTGTACTCCATCCAGAAGACACCCTCACTGCTGCCATGTGGCATGAGCTCGCCACGCAGGTGACTTGGCCAGTGTGGCCACTCATCCGACCAGCTGCCGTTCCAGGAAAAGCGGCCCCATGGGTTCCGGAGACGCAGGAGCCTGTGGACCATGGGGCTGAAGGCTACAGCTTCCACCACACACCCACATGCCCTGGCTGCCCATGGCTGGCCCAGCCCCTACCTGGAGCCCTGGACATCGCGGACATCCAGGATGGAGTAGGCGTGGCGGGGACGCAGGCCCAGGCTCTCGTAGGTAGCATCATCTACTTTCATGTTGCCCCCCCCACAAGAGGCACCCATGAGGAACCTGTGTAGGCAGAGTGGACTTGCTCATTGGGGAGGCTTGCTGACCAAGGGGCCTTGGTTATTGGGAGCCCCTTAATTACCAGGGGCCTCACTCAGTGGGCCTAACTCACCTCTGTTGGCCCCGGGGTTGGGGGTCTTCCCTGCCTATGGGGGAATACATATCTTGGGGACCCAGAAGAGACTCATGGGACTCAGGAAGTGTGGGCTTGCCTCTTATACCACGGCCGAAGAGCTCAAAGGGCTTGGGCTGGGGGTCAGGCAGGCCTGGGTCCTGTCAGCTCAGGGCCTTGGCCTCCCAAGGAGATGGGGAAGCAATACTGCCCAGTATCAGATGAGATCAGGGCATCTCAGCACTGAGCCATCTCTTCCAGGCCTAGGGTTCTGAATCCTCTTTACAGACAAGCTGACCAGTATGTGCCAGGTCTCAGAATGCAGCTCACTCCTACCAGGTGCCTCTGTGGGGCTTGCTCCATTGCTTGCTACAAGCAGGTGTGATGGTCATTACAGGCACATTCAGGTGTGGGCTGATGGGCAACACCTTGCCTGTTCCCCTGGTCTGAGCAGGTGGGACCGCCTACTGAGCAGCTGGCAGTGGGAGGTGACAGTACCGTCAGCCAGGCCTAGCTATGGTCATCCCCTACTGGAAACATCTTGTGAAACCGAGGGTGTGGGTCAGAGGGCACTTGCCCCTGCTTCTCCCACCACTCCAGGCCCCGGGCTGGCCGTCCCCTCGCCTTGCCTCTCCTCCCAAACCGCTGACCGCCGCAGCACCCGCCCCTCTTACCCAGCCTCCTTAGAACTCAGCATTTTGGCCCAGATGAGGTCAGTGTCAACGGGTTCCTCGCGGGGGTTAGTGGAGCTGACCTGCAGCGCCAGGCTCTCACAGGGGGCGCCGGTGAGTGTGGCCAGGCCTTCGATGGCACGCCCTGCCTGGAGGGCAAAGTAGGAGCCGTGAAGCTTGGCCAGCGCCTTCTCGATGAGGGCCACCCACAGCTGCTTCCGCTGGGCCTGTAGGAAGAGGCTGGAGTCAAGAGGCCTGCCAAGGCCTGCCCCCCCACAACCCTGCCTGTCTACCCCACCACCTGCGAGAAGAGGAGGAAGCCGGCCTCATCGCAGGGCAGCATGTCATCCACCAGCACCGTTGTCCATGTGCCATCCTTGCAGAGCCGCACTTGGTAGGCACCCTCCTCACACAGGCTGCGAGTGACCATCACCCGCTCAACCAGGTCAGGCCGCTCGGCCAACACCGCCAGAGCACTCAGGAACCTGTGCAGAGTCGGGGGCCTCACCAGTGAGCACAAGTGGATCATCCTACTGCCCAGCCCGAGTGGGTGCCCCAAACTCACCAGCAGTTCCCCAGCAGTCCCTGTAGGATGTCTGAGGGCCGGAGAGTGTGAAACACGGACCACGAGGTGCTGTGGTCCCTGAAGACTGAGCAATTGATCTCGTGGGGCCGTAGCCACTGTCTCACACGTTGCTGGACGCTGTCACCCACAGGGAAGCCCACAGACTCAGGCCCAGGGGGGAAGCTGTCATCTACAAAGTTCACGCTGTTCTGCAAAAACCACAGCCACACACACTCAGGCTGAGCTGGTTGGCCCCGGGCCTAGGATGAACCTCACTCTGCCAGGAAACCCAGGACAGCACCCTGAAAATGCTGCCTGAGCCACAGAAAAAATGGGGTAGGCATGTGTGCAGCCACCCTGACCCATGTGGAGGACTCAGTTGGGGCCTTATGTGACCCGCACCCCCGTGTGAGCCTGGGAAACCACAGCCAACCAGGACACTATAGGCCAGTGATAGGTCAGTGGGAGGTACATATGCCCCAGGGATATGGCGCAGCCCCCAGCCTGGAGGCCACAGGGGTGGTGGGTATGGGGTGCAGGGAACTTTGGTGGCTTCCCTGTCCAGCCCATGGCCCACCACACCAAAGGC